TGGCCAGAAGAAACAGCTCCAGGGCTTAGCATCAGGATGCTCCTGCAATCCTGCTGAGATCTGGTCCTGCCTGAGCCTCTGTCTCCTTGCCTGAAATGTGAGGTTGGGCTCCTTCACCCTGAAGCTCCAGCAGCTGCGATCCTGTGGCTGGCCCCATCCCAGCCTAAGGCCCGGACGGCAGAGGCCTGGTGCTTGCAGAGCGCCCCCGCCTCTGGCCTCAGCACATCCACCTCCTCACTCCCCGCGGCCCCCCGAGGTTCGCGTGGGCCCCCGCCAGAGGAATGTGAGCCATTCCCGGCATCTCCTCCCCTGTGGCCAGCTCAGAGAGAGGCTGGGGCCTCTGGGCCACTCTGACAGGAAATTAGCTGGGCCTGGCCTTCCCCACTACCAGCTGCTCTGCTGACCCTGACCCTGTGTTTTCCGAAACCTGATACTGCAAATTTCACAGCCTCTTCTCCTGGCGGAGCTCTGGGTCTAACGGCCTCCAGCCTACACTCGGGTCTGCCTTCCTGCTCAGGGACAGGGCCGCCTGGACTCCAGCCCCTGCTGTGACCCTAATCCGGCCCCACCCTCCCCAGGAGAGGCCTCTCCCCTCTCTGCGTGGGGCGGGGGGGGTTCGTCTCTGACTCTCCTCCAGAGCAGCCGGTCCCCTGTCCCTGCAAACTCGGCAGGGACACAGGTGGGAAACCTGGCGATGGGGAAGGGCTTTCTGGAAAGAGGAAGGGTCCTCACCCTCCTCCCCAGTGGCACAGAGGTAAAGAATCTGCCTGCAATGCAGGAGACCTGGGTTCAATCCCTAGGTTGGGAAGATCCCCTGGAGAAGGGAATGGCAACCCACTCCAGTTTTCTTGCCTGGATAATTTCATGGACAGAGGAACCTGGCCGGCTACAGTCCATGGGGTCGCAGAGAGTCAGACATGACTGAGCGACTCACACACACACCTCACCCTCTTACCAGGAGCTTTGGTTCTGCTCTTTAGTAGAAGGATTCTGAAAGGAAACCAATAAAATGCACCTAAACCATCAAAAAAAAAAAAAGGCAGAACCCATTCACGGAGTGGCTGTAACAGGGAAAACAGGCTGAAGGCTAGTAAGAGAGGATGTGGAGAGCCACTCTGGAGGCTGCTGTGGTCCAGGGAAGGTTGACGGTGGCCAAAAAAGACAACTTCCTACTTCAGAAGCAGCAACTCCATCTTCAGTCACCCTGGCCAAAAAGTCTAGATTCGTCCTTGAAAGAACTTTCTTCTCTCTTACACCTACAGCCATCCATCAGCAAATCTTGATAATTCTGCCTTCAAAATACATCAACTGGACAACCTGTCACCACCTTTGCCACTGCTGCGCTGGTTGAGCTCCCCCTGGATTTCTGCAGGAGCCTCCTAACTGGCCTCCCTACCTCCATCTTGGGCCCCTTTAGTCTGTTCTCAACACAGAAGCCAGAGCCGCCTTTGAAAATACAGAAGAGCATTGCTTTTCTGTTGAACATCCTTCAAGGCCTTCTCCTCTTGAAGTAAAAGCTTAAGTCCTAACAACGGCTTGCAAAACCCATGTTGATCTGTTCCTCTGACCCCATCTCCTACCTCTGTTCCCCTTGTTCACTCTGCATCAGCCACACAGGCCTCAATGATGCTGCTCAAACATGCAGAGAAGTCCTGCCTCCAGGCCACCACACACGCCATTCCCTCTTCCTAGAAACACTTGCCCCAGAGATCTTCTGGGCTTGCCCTCACTCTGCTCACATCTCCACTCAAATACTCCCTGATCAGAGACTTCCTGAGCCCCCTCGGCCCCTCTGCAGGCACCCCCAACCCCCTCATGGCCGTCCCACAGCTTTAACCACCTCGACGTAACTGCTTAGCATTTGTCTCTCCCTTCAGAAAGCACACTTCCAGAGCCGCAGTAACTTTTTGTTCCCAGTCTATTTTTCAGCACATAGAAGCTTTGCTGAGTACAAACAGGAACATGACCAGTCACTTGATAAAAAAACACTTGTGGGGACTTCCCTCACAGCCCAGTGGTTAAGACTTAGCCTTCCAATGCAGGGGGTGCAGGTTTGATCCCTGGTAAGAGCCCACATGCCTCAAGGCCCAAAAACCAAAACATAAAACAGAAGCAATATTGTACCATATTCAATAAAGACTTTAAAAATAATTCACATCAAAAAAAAAAAAAGGCAAACATCTTGTGGAAGGAAGGAAGGCGCAAGGACGGCTGAGAGGACAACTGCTGGGCCATGAGGTAGAAAACCACGCCAGGCAGGAGGACAGAGTGGGGGGCCACAGAGCAGGCGCGTCCAGACTTGAGAGCTGCCCAGGCCGGGGGAGGAGCCACCTTCCTGAGGCCCAGCCCTCAGCCAAGTGTGTCCAGGTGGCCTTGCACTCATCCTCACCCCCTTCCTGATGACATGTGGCGCGGGGTGGGGGGTGGGTTGGGGTTGTCCTTTACAACCAATATAGCCTTGACTTCCAACCCCCCACCCATCCACGTCTCCCCGTGATCATCCCAACCTCTAAGCCTTTGTCTACAAATCAGAGAGTCCCCAGGCCCCTCCATTCCTATAAGCATCCATCAGCCTAGCATCCATGAATTCACCCGTCAGCACATAACCAATGCCTTCGTCCTACATCAGCCTTTCAAAACACACATGGCAAAGCAGGACCAGGTTATGAAAGGGTCTTGAGAACCAGGCTAAGGCAATCCACCTTTATTGCTAAATAGCAGGGAGCTATGGAAGGCTTTTGAGCAGAGGAGTTACAGAATCAGATCTGTATTTCAGACAAAGAAAGCTGGCAGCTGTGAACAAGATGGACTTAAGGGGGTGGTCAAGGCAGAAAGATCAGTTGGGGTAATACTGCAATATCCTAGATGATGAAATAGGGCAGAAGCACAGCTGCTAGGGAAGGAAGAGTCAAGCTGCAGATGGGAACCACCCTGCAAGCAGGCCTGCCCAGATGGGGGGCCATCTAAGAGGCCTTTGGCTTGGCACCCACCAATGGACCCACCTTGGCACTGTGCTTCCCCATCCTCAAGTGGGGCTATGCCTTCTGCACATCTGGCCCAAGACAGCCTGGATAGGTGGTTCCCAGGGGCCTGCCTCAGAAGTTGTCCTTTCTGGGCCCACCACACAGTCCTTAGCCCTACAGCTCAAGCCGCTGACACTTCAAGTACGCAGTCACCCATCAGCTCTGGTCTCACACTTCAGCCCCAGCTGTGGAAAGCTTGGGCCTCTTCTCTGTTAATTTTCTCCAACCCCTCAGAGGCTGGGCCTCAGGCCCAGTGAAGTCACAGTCTGGGAGGCAGCCCTGGCTCCCAGCCCGCCCACGGAGGCTATATTTGGAGCAGGACAACTCCCAGCAGACACACACGGGACCCACCCTGCAGCGCAGCCCCAACCTATGGTACCAAGTTTCCAAGCAGTGTGGGTGTTGCTCACGTTTTCACTTGTTTGTTCATTCATTCATTCATTTGTTCACTCGTTTATCCATTCCACAAATATTTGTTGACCACCCCCGCCCCTAGCAGGTTGTAGCAGGATAGAGGATGGGCACGTACACGTGCATGCATATATATGGGTGCCCGGGTCTAAACGGGGAAGGCCGCACACTCTCTGGGCACCCTCCCTCAGGGTCCAGTGGCCCTGGTGACTCAGACTCAGATGCACATGGTGTCTGTGGGCACCTGTGTGCACGTGCATGCAGGCACGTGCTCTCTGAGGAGGCACCTGTGACTCAATCGCATGGCGTCTGTGCGTACCTGCGTGGATGTGTCTATGTGTGTAGACGGGGCAGAGGCTCTGGCCCCCAGGGGGTGGGGGAAATGGTTGTGACTGACTCAGCGGCGTACGGTGACTGGGGTGCCCGTAGGCCAACTGTAACTTTATGCCCTTGCTTACTTGCCAAGTCAAATCACTAGAGTTAGGTGCAAATATTCTATAGGGAGGAAGAAGAGCAGGAGACACTTAGCTGTTTGGGTACAGCCTCATCTGTCCCAGAGGTGCCCTACCTGCCCCTCCACCGCAGGTACCCCCCATCTCAAACCCTCTGGCCTGGCCTTCAGGAGGCTCGGTGGCCACGCCCCACATGGACTCTGCCAGCACCCTCACCCACCAGGCTGAGAGAGGCAGGACTGCCAGCCTAATCCATCTTCCTACCACACAAAAACTCTTCTGTTTCCACCATGATGGCATCTTTCTCCAACACCCGAGCCCAGGCAGAGCTCAGCAAGAGAAACTGGGAACCTCTTCTGACCTCTGGGGCTGCAGACCCACAGCCTGGGCCACTGTCCTGCCCCTGCCCTCATCTCCTTATCTGCGTCCCTTGCCCTCTCTGCCTGGCTGTCTCTCCTTATCTGTCCCGGGGTCTATCTTTGTCTCTTTTCCAGGCAGGCTGTCTGCAGCGGAGGCTCCCCAACAACAGAGGTGCTGACAGCGAGGGGGTGTGCAGAGGACACTACGGGTCCTTTCTTGAGCCTTATCAGAAAAGTGAAGTGACTGCTCAGGGCTCAGGCTGGAATTTCTCCCTGGATGACCTTACTCGGCTTGCTGGGGCCTCCCTGGGGACAGCTGGGGTCCGGCCAGGCAGGAAACAGGCCCCTGCTTGTTGGCTGCTCCTCCTCCCTCCTCACCCACTCTCACCCGGGCCAGACTGCCGGCAGACTCCAGCCAAGCGTGTCCACAGAGGGCAGAGGGCTGCCCCTTCCCGAGATGCCTACAGCAGCAGGGCCCAGGGCTGTGTGCCCCAGGGAGGGGGAGGGGATGGGGGAGCAGGCATGACTAACGTGCCTCTAGGCACCAACAGGGCCCTCCTTAGGCCCCCCAGGAGGAAATCCCCAGGGGCTGAGCCAGAAGAGGCGTGCTCTCACTCCTGCCCCACGAGGCCCCCAGCCGGCCAGCACTTGCCCGCACATGCACGTGCCAGGAATGACTGGGAGCGGCCCTGGAGCCTGGGCACCTGGGTTTTGTGTCCTCTTGGGCAACTGCCTAACTCTGAGCCTCACCTTCCTCATCGGTAAACAAGGAGAGCAGCGCTGAGTTCCCGGAGTGTTGAAGATAAAATGAGCTTGCAGCGGGGCTTGCTCCCTTGGGCCGCGAGATTGGGGGCTTCCTCCACGCCGGGCCCTCGCCCCGCCCGCGGGAGCCGGGGAGCTGCGCGCCTGGTCCGGCCGGGACGCTCCACGGCGCACGCCTGCCCCCTGGCGGTCATGCGGGTCCTCGCGGCCGGCACTAGGGCATTTCCCCGGCCCGCGGGCTCTGGGTGTGGGATTTTGCGGGGCAGGTTAGAGCGCAGGCTTTTGTTCTCTTTGTATCCCTGCTTTTCCATATTGGGGGTATTTCTTTGTGACAATTACAAACATTCAGTTCAGTTCAGTCGCTCAGTCGTGTCCACCTCTTTGCGACCCATTACTACTTAAAAAAAAAAAATCACATGGAGCCTGTCCCCTGAGGGAATTCTGGAGGTTGGGGGTTTTCTAGCGTCTCCACTCACATGAAGTTTCCCAGGGTAGATTGGCAGAGAGAAGACTAGGGCTGGGCTTTGGGAGGGTTCAGGGCTGAAGTGCCGGAGGGAGCCATACCCCACTGCTGTTGAGGGGGAACCAGGAAGAACATCCAGTGTGGTGATCGGGCTGCAGCCCTGGGTGAGTCCCCAGAAGGACATGGAGAACAGCTGTGGCCACCACAGAGAAAAGCTGTAATGACCAGCAAGGAAGCCACACAAGCCCTGAAGGAAGAGCAGAGCCTGGGGTCCTTGGGGGTCTCTACCCCAGGCCCTTGAGATCCACCCCGCAGCCTGCTGGGGCCATCCGAGTGGCTGGTGTGATGGGACGTGGGAGCCAGGCAGGGAGGCCCCTTCACTGGAGGCCCTGCCTCCTTCACTCAGAAGTGACACTGGCCTGTGGAAGGGGAGCCCTGCAGGACCGACCTACCTCAGGCACCTGCGGGATTTTCCCAGAGCTCGCCACCCTGTCAACAAAATCCCCACTAGGGGGACTAGCTCTGGCCAAGATGGAAAGCCCCTCACCACGAGGCTTTCTAACCAGATGCAGAGAGACAAATGCCAGTCAGAGCATGTCTGTGAAGTTGAGAACCCCTCAGGCCGTGCATTGCCTCACCAATGAGAGAGGTAGCGTTGTGTGCGTCCAGGTGTGACACCCTCAGGACACATTCCCTCTGAGAACACAGACTCCCAATCCAGCTCACCCAAGGTGACTCTGCAAGGAACCATGAGTAGGACCCAGGTATGTATCACTCTGAAATTCAGGTCCTTCCCAACTCAGTACTTTTTTTTTTACATTGAAAAAGACTGCCCATTCATCAAAATTGTTAACATTGTACTTATTGATCTACCAACCTCATCAAATATCATGATGAAATTTTCCTTCCCTTTTATTTTGTAAATTTATTTTCAATTTCAAATATTTTCAGTTTATTTTCAATTTAAATTTATTTTCATTGCTTTACAATGTTGTTAGTATCTGGTGTACAACAACATGAATCAGCCATAAGTATACATTTATTCCCCTCCCTCTTGAGCCTCCAGTATTTAATTTTACAAATCTTATTCCTAGCAATACATTGTATTTACTATCTACCAAACTACGGATGAATCATTTGATCTTTATATGCAAATGAACCTTTCCTGGTCTTTCTTTGCTTATTTATCCATGTAAGGAGGGGCCTGTATTATGGATCTTACACCTTCCTAGAAATATGAAATGTCAGAATTATCCTACTATTTAAGGTAATAGCCACAGCATTTATAGGTTGTATCTTACCATGAGGTTACAAATCCTTTTGAGGGGCAACAGTCATTACAAATCTCCTTTTCAGCAATTCCTTACATTGGCATTAACCAAGCCAAATGAATCTTGGGAGTATTCTCAGTTGATAAAAGCCACTCACCCTATTCATCACCTTCCACTTTATCCTCCCATTCATTATTGAAGCTTTAACAGTTCTTCACCCATTACTGCTACATAAAACAGGCTCTAGTAGTCTAACAGGGATCTCATCCTATATGGACAAAATGCCACTTCAACTACACTAGACAATTAAAAATACCTTGGGTCTCTTAATCTTAGCTTCTAATCTTCAGTACTTGCCTCTTTACTAGTGTTAAATTATCACAGGGATAAAAGTTGCTTAATTTTCAAATTTCTAATTCTCCTAGCAAACTCCTCTTGCCCAGTATTTATTTGGTGCCCTTTAACTACCTGAGTGGGGGGAAATGAGCTCATTCAAGCTGCCATGATTTACCTATGGACAATAGCAGTACACCAAACTGTACTGTAGCAGGGGTTATCAAGATATTCTGGGGGTATATTGTATACCTTCCAGTTTTCTTCATTTCTGAATTGAATTTTCTTTTGTTGATGTTGATCTCCTTCATATCACCTCAAGGTTTCAACTTGTGAAGGAACAAGTATGAAGGGGATAACAGTCTTGAAAGGAGACATTGTACATAATCAGAAGGAAGAGCAAAGGACCTGCCCATTTAGATACTTTGCTATAAGCAGCCAGGTTTGTTTCTCATAGGGAAATGTGATCCACCCGGCATGTTGGCTCCTAAAGAACTACTGTGAGGCTCATCAAGCATTGAGCTTTATGTAGCCTTGTTGGGAATATGGGAAAGGAAGAAAGCCAGAGTTGTCCCTTCAGTCTTGGGAAGATCTGGATGGTTCTACGCAGGCGGAAATGACTTGAATTTTCTGTGCAAACACACCTCTACCAGTCAGTCCATCTTCAGCTGACTGAATGTTGTCTAGTAACCCTTCTCCAAAGCACAGGTGTGGTGTTCTGGTTTCACCACAGATTATTTCTACTCATTTCATTTTTGGAATCTGCTTGTAGACTCCAGGTCCATTTAGTATATAACCTTTATTTTCTTGTTTCTTTAAAAATAATTTTTTCATATTTAAAGCCCTGTATTAGTCAATGATTCATGTTCAGTGTTTTTTGAACCATTTGCCATTATGAAAAGATAAATACTTGTTTGTGCTTTCAATAAAACTCAAAAAAAAACAAAACAAAACAAAAAATAAATAAATAAATAAAACTCATGTAGGAAAGTCTTGGGGAAAAAAACAACAGTAACACGAATAGAAAGACAAATCATTGATCACCCATTTAGTATCATTGGACAAAGGGGATCTACTGTCTACTGTCTTAGAATTATAGTCCTTATACCAGTAACTAGCATTATTAAAAATAACCTCCTAAAATGAAGAGTGTTTGTAGTATATTTGTTATTTTGTCCTTCTAAACCAGGGAAAGAGAAAAACATATCTCCCTATGATGCAAGAAGCTCCAGCTCTACCGTCAGCACCCAAAACTGAAATTCTACTTAAACAAGTCTCTGAACAACTTGTTTATGAGACATTAACACTATCTTTAAGTAATTTTAGTATTAAAAAACATCTTAAAAACTAATATTCCCATGTACATTGTGCATTATGTGGACTTCTACATATATAAGTACACATGCTTTTCCATATATAACATGATATGTATAATCATGAATTAATTATCTACCGCATGTTCATGAGCATGTACATCAGCTTATTAATATTACAGAACACATTAAACAGTTCAATTCCCATTAGATTCCAGTCCCTACTGGAATAGGGCCTATATTTGTGTGTGTGTGTTTTGAAACTTTTTATGTTGGAGTATAGTCAGTTAACAACGTTGTGATAATTTCAGGTGGATAGCAAAGGGACTCAGTCATACATATAAATGTATCCATTCTCCCCCAGACTCCCCTCCCATCCAGGCTGCCACGTAACTCTGAGCAGAGTTCCCTGTGCTACACAATAGGTCCAGCTCGGCACTTATGAAAGCCAAGCATCGTCCAGTTAGAACCTCAGGCTGTGAGGGCAGCCACTGTAGAAAGAAGCCGTTCAGCTGTCCTTTTATCTTACAGCTAATAGTGCTATGAGAACAGGGCCTTGGGATTTGGGGATGAAATCATCTACTTCCACACCTTTTCTGGGTTCCCTGCATGCTCCCTGAGGAGAAATATTTCAGGTGCATATGCCCTCCGTGGGGGAACAGACAGCCGAGTTTGGCAGCACTGGGCAGTTGCTAGGAGGAGGTGGTGGGCCTGGGCTTCGGTGGGCGGACAGGTGAGCATGGAGCCGGCAGCAGTCCTGACACCCCTGAAACCAGACTGTGGGCAAATTCCAAACGTGACTAGCTCCCAACTTACTGCCTTCATAGAGCTTCTGTGTTTTCAACCGGTGTTCTGACTATAGGCTTTTATTCTATTAAGAATATATTTTAGTGATACACCAACTTGGGTTGTAGATCAAGATTTTATTTCGGTGACATTTCAAAGATTGTTTTTTTAAATCAGCCTTCTGGTAAAACTCTGCATTACTGAATAAGAAAAGCAGATTTTTAACGTTTAAAAAAAAGAGAAAAACGTAGATGGAACCAGCTAGGATAAAGATGGTGATGAGTCTGACCTCCAGCAGACCCCGAGTCTCATTATATGTTTAATTTACTACATTAGCATATTAAATAACACACCTACCAGTGGCCAAAACCAGACACCAAGGACCAAAAAGGGATGGTAAGGGCATGGCACCCCCACTCCCCCCCAAAATGCCCTGCCCCTTCCCCATAGTCTAAAGCCTAGGCCTCCCCAGAGTCAGTCACACTCCTCCTCCTCTTTGTTACTCTTTATAATTTACTCCCTCTTGCCAGGTGGGCAAGAAGTTGATTTGTGAACTTACTTCCTGCTTCTCCATTTTTTGGCCACTGAGTAAAGCTTATGCTGTGTCAATTTCAACTTTGGCTCCATTACTGGCTGCTTGAATCCCGACAGAAAAAGAACACTACCCTGCCAAAGTCGAGAGCCTCAGCCAGGCTAGGCTCAAATAGGGTCCACAGAACTTAATTCAACCAAAACAAGTAGGAGCCACAAACTCACGATATAATCAAACCCCATCACCCTGGGGTGGGGGCAACCCACAAGCTGGAGAATAATTATATTGCAAAGATTCTCCCACAGGAGCAAGAGTTCTGAGCCCCAAGTCAGGCCCCACAGCCCCAGGGGTCCAGCACCAGGAACACGAGCCCCCCTAAATATTTGGCTTTTGAAGAACCAGCGGGGTTAACTGCAGGAGCCTCTGGGGACCAGGGAAACAGACTCCACTCTCAGAGGGCTCACAAAATCCCACACGAACCTGGGCAAAAGCAATAATGTGATAGGCGCCTGGGCCAGACCTACCTGCTGGTCTTGAAGCGTCTCCTGGGAAGGCGGGGGCACGGCTGCAGCTCCCCTTGAGGACAGACACTGACAGCAACCCTTCTTAGGAGCCATGTGGACGCTAGCGCCGGCTGAGGCTGATGCTACGGGGCCCCATTTTGAAAATCTCCCTCCAGCTCATTAGCCTAACAACCTGCAGGTGCTAAGACGCCTCAAGCCAAGCAACTAACTGGGCGGAGACATGGCCCAGCAAATAGGCCGCCTCAAGACCAAAGAGCCCACAGCTGCCTCCAGACTCAGCCCTGCCCACCAGCGGAGCAGACAGAAGCAGCAGAGAGCTGCAAAGCCCCAACTGGGCCCTGGCTGGCCCTGTCCACTAGCAGACCACCGCAACCTTCAGGACACCCCAGGCCCCTTACCCAGGTGAGTCAGGAACTGCTTCCACCCCCCGCACGTGATCTAAAACGAACTCCAGGATCCCTGGGCCCTCCAGCCAGACTGCAGGGACCAGCTCTGCCTGCCAGTAGTCCTGCACTAAACCTCAAGCCCTGGCTTCACCTACCAGTGGGTGGGCAGCAGCCCCAGAGTCTTTGGGACCCTGACTCCATCCTTCAGTGAGTCAGCACTAGCCTGGGCCTCCTAGGAAAGGAGGAACAAGACAAAGCCCCAGAAGAACAACTAAGTGAGGTAGAGATAGGCAGAGTTAAGCGATCGCTAGGACAACATCAGGGGGCACCGATACTCATGGCGGTCCCAGAAGGAGAAAGGGCCTGAGAAAATATTTGAAGAGATAATAGCTGAAAACTTCCCGAAGCTGGGAAAGGAGTCACCCAAGCCCAGGAAGTGCAGAGGCCCACACAGGATGAACTCAAAGAGGAACACCTAAGACACCCTGTAATCAAGAGACCCATCATGGGCTGCTGCTCCAAGCGGAGTGCTGACTGCGGGCAAGAGGCTGGGGGACCTGGGACAGGATGCAGGGCTCAGGGCTGCCTGGAGTGGGGGTTGCTAGACAAAGCTTCCGTCTCCCACTCATCACGTCCTGCTGGCCCTCATCCGGGCCCTGAGGACAGCTGTTGAGGAGGTGGACATAAACAGGGAGGAAGGCCTTCATTCCTGTGGGTGAACAGCCCTGAGAATCTACATTGCATCTACATATGGGACATGGAAGAGGAATCTGAGGCTAGCCCTGGATGGAATTCAGTGTCCACCACAGATCTACCCACTACCCAAGGGCAAAGACTCAGCAACCTCAGAAAGGTCAGTGGAAGCTGGGCACAGGACAAGAATGGGTCAGGGCCCACTCCCCCACAGAGGGGTGAAGCAGGGACACGGATCCAGCTGTGTGGTGGGAGACAGAAACACGCTGCGATAAAACCGTGTGACATCAAACGTATTTTAAGAACCCAGAGGAGGCAGGTGGTGTCATGAACCACATCCTAGAAGATGGTCAGCTGTTCCTGGGTAGATGAGGTTGGTCCCCTTCCAGGTCCTTCTCTGCAAAAGGAGGGCTTTGGACCAACTGACCCCAGGGACTAGCCAGCCCAGCATTCTAGAGGCACTAGTTAAAAAACAGCAAACTACAAACTTTGAGTCTAAAGCTGATATATTTTACTTACGTAACCACTACCTATTTCCAGCATCCCAGGAAGTTCACTTGGTTCCAGTCAGTAACCTTCCTTCCCACCCCCAGGTAACCACAATTCTGACTTCAAAATCCGCAAATTAGCTCTGCCGGTTCTAGAAATTAATATAAATGGGGTCAAACAGTATTTTCTGTGTTTGGCTTCTTCGTTCAACAAAATGTCTGTGAAATTCATCCACGTTGCTGTGAAATTCATCTCTCAGTGATGCTACTTTTGATTGAAGTATGGGATCCTTGTCTGAACACACATCCACAGATCTGGTTTCTGCTGATGGGCATTGGGGTTGCTGCCGCTTTGGGTCATCCTGAACGAAGCTGCTGTGAACCTCCAGCAAGCTCTCCTTGCGGACATCTGCCTCATTTCCCTTGGGGGGACCACTGGCCTTTAGGGCAGGTGTTGTCTCTAGCATGAGTAGATATCACGATTTTGCTTCCTAAGTTGAGGGGTGACTTTCATGGGTCTCGAATACAGAAATACAGAGGAAGTAGAGGGAAGAGCAAGAGGAAAGAAATAGATGGATCTTAAAGTACTAACACTGATTCTTGCAGGCAATGCTGAGTCCCTACTATGAACTGGTAAAAGCTGGGCCGTGCCTCTTTCCCACTCCCCATGGCCTGACGTCACCCCATCCCTGCTCTGCCAGGACAGCTGTGACTTGCTGGCACGGCTGAGAAGGCACGACGGGGGCTGTGCCAAGTGGAACAGGCACCGGTGCTCTGCGAGGGACATTACCAGCGGGGCCATAAATCTGCACACTCATTCCTCCCCAGCTGCTGAAACAGTTCCGACAGCCCCTCCCCAAACTCAAGGTCAGGGCAGCTTTACATTTCATGCCTCAGCAGCCTGCATCCCAGGAAGACTTTAAAGGATATACAAAGCAACTCCCCGGGCACATAAATGGAAAGGGCCTTTACAGAGTCTGAAGCACAATGCCCCACAAGCAGCGAGCCTTGGCTCCTGGCTCATGGAGCTCACGGATCACCCGGCCGCTGTCTTCCCACGTACACTCCATTTACACCAGAGGTCAACTCCTGACACCCCTCCTAGGGAAACCCTGATACTAAGAGCCTGTTCTGTTCTGGACCAGAACGTGCCTTTCTGCAGAGAATGTTTATCAGGCCAGGTAATTCTTTGTTACAAGGATTGTCCCGTGAATTGTAGGGTGTATAGCAGCAACTCTGGCTTCTACCCTCTAGATGCCAGTAACACTCCCAGTAATGACCACCAAAAATGTCTCCAGACACTGCCCCTCCACATTTCAGCTTTCCAAGACGTGATCAGGCTGGACTGAGTGGGCCTGCTTAATCCACAAAAGGCATTTTAATCTTGGCAACTGTGTAAAACAAAAACAAAAAAAACCACACTGTTTACTCTGGTAAAAACTGAAAGAAAAACAGGAGAGAAAGAAAAGAAAATTCGGGAAAGCAGAGGTAAGAGGATTTGGAGGGAATAGCAAGGACGAGGGAGAAATTATCCGTGTAAGTTCCCGCTTGTAAGATGACACATCCACCATGGTTTCCCACATCAGTGACTCAAACGGCAAACTCGAGGCCATAGCTAACTTCGTGACAGCCTTGGTTTGGGGGGTACAAACTGCAAATCCAGTATTTCAGGAAGTGTCCCTAAATCCAAGTTCACCTCATTATTGGAAAACATGCACACGTACACACAACCTTACCCTCTTGTTAAATCAGACAGCTTAAAATGTATGCTTTTCCAGTATTTTTTTATTTTTTTACCGACTCCATTTGACTAAAACAAGAACCATATAAAACAATTTTAACGTATCTTAGAAAATTAGCCAAAAAAGAAAGTTCAGCATATTACATTGTACAATATTTAGGTAAGAATGTTTGAAAATTATAAATATTTTGTTCCCTCTCAACATAGCACATCACAAAAATACATTTTAAAAACTTTTTTCATGTATAATTTCTAGGAACGATCATATCACTGTTTATTAAGGCAAAGGTCTGATTAGGACAAGCATTCACACACACCAGAGATGTTCTGTACAGTAACTACAAAAGTAAAACCAAGGGGTCTGCCAGCACACAGATGGTTAAAACCATTTTAAATATTAGGAAGAATTCAGTTAGTATCAAAACATCATTCTGAATGGGATTCACTTAGTTCATCTCTGTGCTATCTTTGATTCTTAAGTATCTATCTCAGCCAAAGCATTATTTAAAAGACTTCTGCTCCCTGGAGACAGTGCCTCTGGAGCCAGATGCCAATCACTCACATGGCATTAAATCTGCACAACCAAAGACACGAACGCCAACCCCTCAGTCCGAGCGAGGACCACGTGCAGGAGAAGTGTCTTTTCCAGCTGAGTAGCTGTGGTCGGAGGCAGTCCACGTCCACCACGGACCATGGCAAGCAGGGTGGCCCCCTTAGTTTAGAAACAAGCACTTGGAGGAGGAAATACGCTGCTGGAAAAACAACAGCATAAGCCCACAGAGGTTCCGACACCCAGTGACCTGAGCGCCGCCCTGCCCCTGGTCACACGCCACTGGGCTGTCTATGCACCACCTCCTCTGAGAAGAATCTGAGGGAGCTGAAGGGAATTTTCAGAAGCTGAGGTTTTCAAAGAAAGAGTAAATAAAGAGTCTGACAATGTTGACTTTTTTTTTTTCTTTTCAGGTAAGCCCTTCCTTATTGGCAGATAAATAAGAAGGCTTCTTTAGTATACTGACCCCATAGGAGGTGCTGGAAGTTAGAAGCAGAAAAGCCAGGTCCTTCTGTCTTTAGCATAAAGTTTTGCAGCTGTGCTTGCAACCTACACAGCTGACATAACTATGGCTCACTCTGTGGTCTTCTTTTCTTTCCAGCTCTTCTCTCGTTCCTCAAGTTCTGCCTGGGTGAAAGCTGCCGGGCCCCAGTTAGTGATCAGGTGAGGGTTTTTTGAACCTAAGAGACAAATGCGCATCAAACATACAAGGTCTTATATTCTTCAATTAACATTATCATTTTTCTACTTTATTTTCTTCTCTGAGGAATATCCATAAAGGTCATAGGAGGCAAAACCATCAGAAGATGTACACAAAGGGAATTAAGCAGGCCTTCTCATCTATCAGAGGGCAAAGGAGATTCAAGAAAAATTTATTGCAAAGAGCTGGGTTCCTGTGTATTTGGGCTAGGAAAGTTTTTTTTAGCACAATTCAAGTACACAAATAAAACAGAAAAATTGACTAAATATCTGATTACTTCAGAGAGTGTGTTACCTGGTTCTATCAATCGAATTAATCCTTCATGATGGGCCACTTTGTCCTTCCAGCTCTTGGTCGTCTTCGCTGCCATCTCTAGCTTCTTTTTAACTCCCTGGAACAAGAGCAGCTTTTAGACTCTGCAAACACACAGGTAGTTTAAGAGCCAAATAACAATGATTGGGCACTTGCTCCATGACTGTGGATTATCTCATTAAGTCATCCCAGCCACAGAAACACAGACTATTATTACTCCCATGGTACACAGGTGGAGACTAGGATTCAGAGCAGTTAAGTAACCTGCCCGAGGTCCCCCGAGGACCTAATTCACACTAATTATAGATGATGTATAAGATATTCCTGTGCCAGTGATGCCAGACTGCCTCTCGACTCCAAATCCACCCTTTGCTGTCCCGCCTATGACCCTCGCCAGCGGGCCCCACTGAAGCTTCGTCAGTGCAGGAGCTGGCAGGACACCGGAAGAGGTGGGGGCTTTGCCTCCAGGCTCCACTGTGCTCATCTCAGCAGCTCCTGTGGCACGAGGGACACCCACGGTGTCCACCCTCGTGGGTTTCAGTGGCACCTCCCCTGTGGGCAGCTGCGACCAGTGCCCCAGGGGGTAGCTTCGCTGCCGTCCAGGGGCCAAGGCCATGCCCTCTCCGAGGAGGACCGGATCCCAGCACTGGGCTTACACAGCAGAGCGTGTGTTCCCTCCCTACAGGCTCTGTCTCAGCCGGGGTGGGGGCAGTGGCTGCTTCCTGTGTCTGCCCTTCCTGTATTCTTAGAGTTTTCTGGCTGCTCAGTAGGTAATCCCTGTTGTAGTTAATAGCTGATTATATTAAACCTTCCCTGTTCAAATTACTGTGTGGTTTCAGTCTCCCAATTGAATTCCAACTGTTATACCTCATCACCTGTGAAAAACCCTTACTTACAGCTAAGCAACATTCTCACACAGCTTTTTACGGCAGAGTAAACATTCCCATTTTTAAATGTTTGAGAACTTAAATGCACGGATTTGTAGGGATGGGCGCAATGACCTCGTACTGCTCCAGCGCCTGCTTCCGCTCGAGCTCCAGCTGCTGCAGCTGCCCCAAGGCCTCCTGGAGGGCCTGCTCTTTGATGACGCGCTGGTTCTCCAGCTCCTGCTTCTCCGCTTCCGTGGTCTGAATGGCCTGCTGCTGCTCCAGATGCCACTTCTCCAGCTCAGCCCTCTTGGCCGACTCTTCCTCCAGCAGCCTGCAACATGGAGAGCTCAGGGTGACCGCGCCTGACCCAGAAGATGACAGAGCACAGCAGAGCCTCAGAGGAGCCTGGAGCTCACCTAACCCACCTCTCGCCCACAAGAAGTGGACACGAGGAGCCGGAGAGGCCCAGATTTGTGGGTCAGGGGACCTACGGGTCTGCTCCAAGCTCTTTTTCACCCTTTTATGGAAAAAAAACAAAAGATTAAAAATAACATGTACTGAAGGTTTAATGGGCCAAGAAAGAAGTGTACTTTTTCAACTGATCCTCACAATAGGCTTACGTAGTATTATTATTCAGTTCAGAGATGAAGAAAGTGAGGCACAAAGGCGAAGTGACCTGGACTAGGTCATTCACCTGACAGTCAGGTGGCAGGGCTGAGTTTTGAAATCTGCCTGGTTGCTACAACATTAAAACACTTTTTTATCCAGCAGAAACCTATTCCCCAGGGAAAAGCTGACACACCAACAAAGGCGAAAGAAGAGGAGCGGGCAAAAGGCAGAGGAAGCAGACACCATTTACTGACCAAGCACTGCACGTCAGGCTCTTTACCTTCATCCCTGTGATCCCCCCCCAATTCTGCAAGGTGTTACTGTCCCTGCAGATGAAGTCAAAGGGTTCAGAAGTATGACGCACGGGTAAGCAATGGATTTCAACCCAGGCCCGCATGACTTCAAAAGGTTATCTTTTAATAACAGGCTACCTATCGGAGGATATCCCAGGTAAGCAGGTATTTAATAAATAAACTAACTTGTACCCCAAGTGTAGGCAATGTGGTTAGATGCCAGCCCAGGGCAGGACGCATGCATGTCTACTGGCTTGATCGTCAGAATTACGGTAACAAACCTCACAGCAGGCCAGTTACTGTTGCCTAAGAGTATTTACATGTCTAAAGCCAACAGGAGCAGAAATAAAGTGACAGACTCTACAGCAGCTATCTGACCACCCCAATCCAGCACCACTGTAAGAATTCCCTCAACCACACCCTACAGGGTGGTCTCCAACCGTGTGTGATGGGCCACTGCTTCACAGTCGGGGTCAGTTTATTTCTGGGCAGCCTTGATCCTTAAAAGTTCTTTCTCAACTAGGATGCGCTCTCCTATCTCCTCCCCCGGGTTCCACAAAGGGCCAGTGCGCTCCCTGAATCGTCTCTCGGATGTGACATCGCAGTGAACACTACCCTGCCACCAGGGGCTGACCAGAGTGTATACGCTATACCCCGTCCATGTGCTTTCCTAGACATGGGAGATACACCAGTGAATGAGACTGGAAGGTCGCCTGTTTCTTCATCCTGGTGGTCAAAGTCTGGAGGACAAGGGACATTGCAGGAGGTGAGGCTGCCGAGCACTGAATCCCTTTCACGTGTCCATGGAATATGGGGTCCATCTCCCAACACAGAAGCCACAGCCCCTGCCCTTCTGCCCCGGGAAGCCAGGGTGCAGTGGAAGCTGGGCTTGGCTAAGCAGCAGTCACTCCTAGAACTTTGTGAAACCACTGACTCACAAGAGCAGAGACAGTGGTAGCAACATGCAGTGTTGAGTGACGGCAGAAGCAACAGGGACAACTGACTGACAAACCCATGGCACCAACGTCTGCACCAGTGACATCCTCACTGGGCTCGTCCCATGGCCTTGTTTGGTCTGCTCAGCCTCCCTTGGTTCCTGCCTGTGTTCAGGGCCTGGCCATCTGCCTTTCTGAGGAATTGGCGAATTTCTCAAGAACCTTCCAAAAAATGCTTTGATTGCTTTAGCTAACCCAAGTTGGTTTTTTTGGTTTGCAAACAGGACTCCTGACTAAAGACGAACCTCTCTGTACCTCAATTTCTTTATTTATGAAAAAAGGAATAGGAACTATGTGTGTGTGTGTGTAGGCTCAGTCGTGTCTGAGTCTTTGTAACCCCATGGACTGCAGCCCGCCAGGCTCCCCTGTATATGGGTTTTTCCAGGAAGAATACTGGAGGAGGTTGCCATTTCCTACTCCGGGGGATTTTCCCAACCCAGGAGTCGAACCCAAATCTCTTGCATCTCTTGCACTGGCAGGCAGATTCTATACACCAGCACCACCTGGGAAGCCCCACTAGGAACTACTCCCACCATCAAAGGTTTGCTGATCCATTAAATGTGATAATGCAGGTAAGGTTCTTAGAACAGTGCCTACGGCATCATAAGTATTGAACAAATGTCAGCTCATATTGTTACGATGGAACTATTAGCTCATTTGCTCTGAATGCTCATGAAGACTGCCTGAGATAATATGAGTATATGAGGTTTTTGGCAATCAATTATATCAGAGAAGTAAAGTCCTGAACCTTTTCAAATGAACTGCTTTTAAGCCAAGTCTCATGGATCCTGTACTTGTTCTGTTGATATTTTAAATTATCTTCTTGCTCTAAAACCAGCATTCCAGCCTGTCAACATCTTTTCTGAATGCTTATTTTGACATTCTATACATTACATTTCTTCTCCATCTGCAAATGAGATATAAAGGAACAGAAACCAACAAACTCCGATGACTACCAAATCCAGATTAAATCCAAATTAAACTCTTTGCAAGCACGACCCTCTTCAGCCTTCACAACAACCCTATGAGCTTATTATAGATAAGGAACTGAAGGCTGAAAGTAGTGAAGTAACTTTTCTAAATATTACACAGCTAGACAGTACAATGGCTGGGAATCAAACCCATATCCTCAGTCCAGGGCTATCTATTATTGTGTGGACTGTTGTTCCACATGGCCCCAAGAGTAGAACTTGGATCCACTCATTCAGAAAAGATTCCATGGGTACTTACCATGTGCCAGACAATGCACTAGTTGCTGGGAATACAGACCTGACCAAAGTGTGCTCCCAGGCCTTACAAACACAAAAATTTAGCAGGTGGAAGTTATAACGGGACAGACTAGGGCTCAATCTCAAGAAGTTTCCAATAATTGAGCTGTCCAAATGGTAAATGAACAGTTTCCTTCCGAGTTCCACTCAGAAGAGGCTAGATAACCTTATGGATTACACATTAAACAACAACAACACTTCAATCTTTTTTTTTTTTGCAAAAGCCCTTCATCCAACCCTACCATTCAGAATGCACCTGAATTCTCACATTCCTTAACCTGCCATGTTTACTTGGCTTTCAACACCTTTACACATGTTCTTTCTTTTGTATGGAATGCCCTTCCCAGCGTTTTCCACCTAGTAAACATCTACTTGACTTTAATTACACAATTTAAATATTATTTCCTGGAGTCTCCACAAGTAGCTTATTAAGAATTTGCTCCTCTGTTCCCCCATGAGATTTTGTTCATAATTTTGCTACAATGCTTATTTTATTGTCCTGTAATAATTAGTTTTCGAATATGTTTTGCTTATTTATTTATTCTTCTAATTCAGTCGGTAAACAAAATTGTCTGCTTTATGAAAGGCTCTGGAACATAATAACAAAAAGCTGCTATCATTCTAGTCATATGTATTTCTTTTTTTTTTTTTTAATTTTTTTATTTATTTATTTATTTATTTTATCACAACCATAGTGTATCTTTTTTTTTTTTTACATGTATTCCCCATCCCGGTCCCCCCTCCCACCTCCCTCTCCACCCAATCCCTCTGGGTCTTCCCAGTGCACCAGGCCCGAGCACTTGACTCATGCACCCAACCTGGGCTGGTGATCTGTTTCACCCTAGATAATATACGAACAACACTTCAATCTTAATGGCAAAACAAAAACCCAAAACAAGAAGACCCAGATGGTTCAAGTCACAATTTTTGTATTTAAACGATTTGCAATTAAAAGTATCTCTGGGGAAACTTAAGACACTGACAGAGGAGGGACCATCCACTGGAATAACAATGAGATGCCAGATGTTCCAAGAGTGACTTGCTATTGCTTAGAGCAAGGACAGAGGTTAACTAAAAAGCCCTCTATATACACCCTCAGCTAAGATTATGTTACAGTTCACTGAAGTGCTCAGTCATGAAACATAATCTGAGCTGTAGGGTGTATACAGAGGGCTTTTTAGTTAACCTCTGTCCTTGCTCTAAGCAATAGCAAGTCACTCTTGGAACATCTGGCATCTCATTGTTCCTCCAGTGGATGGTCCCTCCTCTGTCAGTCTCTTAGGTTTCCCCAGAGATGCTTTTTAATCGTGAATCATTTAAATACAAGAACTTTGACTTGAGCCATCTGGGTTTTCTTGTTGTTTTTCCATTAAAATTGAAATTTTTTTCAGCTTTTCAGTTCATTAGTGCTAGACTTAAATGTTTCTATCCCAACTCCATGATGATCTGATCTTTGACCTTTTTACCCACAAAGGCCTACCCTGAAGAGTGGGATCAAGGAGAAATCCCCCTTTGTTAGTCTGACAAAATGTCCCTCTGAATCAAGCCCAGCCTCTTGTGACTTTGGAAAAGATATGGACTCGCCTCACTTAAAAAAATGACCACCAGAGGGCACAAGTCTGTCCACTTTAAGTTCCAAAATCAAAGTTAAAAGAAAAACAGAATAGTAAAATGCCTAAAATGGCCTTTAAACACCAAGAAAAGGTAGTTAGTTTTTGTGCAGCAATTTCAGCTTATTAGTACAGAGTTGTATGTAGCAGTTACATTTGCATTTACCAAGCTGAAACCATTTTTCCATTTACTGAGATTAGAGTGTACAAAATAATCAGTCAGAGCTTTTTCTTTTTTTGGCCATGCCATGAGACATGAAAGATCTTAGTTCCTAACCAAGGATCAAACTCGTGCCCCCTGCAGTGGAAGCGCAGAGTCCTACCACTGGGTCACCAGGAAATCCCCTTGTTGCTGTTCAGTCACTAAGTTGCGTCTGACCCTTTGTGACCCCAGGGACTACAGCCTGCCGGGCTCCTCTGTCCATGGGGTTTTCCGGGCAAGAATAGGGGAGTGCATTGCTATTTCTTTCTCCAGGTGAATCTTCCAGGACCGGGGATCACATCTGCATCTCTTGCTTTGGCAGGCAGATTCTTTACCACTGAGCCATCACAGAAGCCCAGGCAATTCCCTAGCCAGAAGTTTTTAAATAAAACACTCATGCCTGGGCTCCTATCCACAGGTATTTTGATATGGTAAATCTGGGACAGTCCCTATATGAGAATTTTTCAAAGCTTTATATAAATGATTCTGATATTTACTATTGATTAAAAATTACTGCCATTAATTATCCAAAACTGTCTTATTCAAAACATCATTCTATAAACATGAAATAACTAATACTTTAATACATTTCTAGAGTTACCTGGTTCCCTTTATGATCTGACCTCTGCCATGTTGTAATTAATCTCCCTCACAGCTTCAAAGAAGTAAATATATATTGCATATCTGTGAATTCTCTACACAAGGGCAAGCTATAAACTCAACACATCACAAATGATGAGGGTCAAAAATATCTATCGTCCCTTAGAATGTCTCTCTTTGGAAGTCACATGGGACCAAACCTTCCCATGTAGTGGATGGTGTGTTAACATCACAACTGTAGCCTCTGCCACCGCCCAATGGCAAGCGGGTGAAGGTCCCTGGACCCTGGCTAATACCACGAGGAACACGCACTTGTGGGACCCGTAAGTGCCAAGCAATGTGCAAGGCATTCAATCTTCTATTAGAAGATAATTTTTCCTTAATAGAATCAAAATTTTCAACACCTAATTTGTTTTTAAAGTCATTTTTGGCAACATATGTAACAAAGAAACCTTTCTTTCTCTCTTTCTACCTGAAGATTAAACAAACATCTCTTGCAGCTCCATGTGTAGATGGCAGCCATGGAAAATCTATCCCAGCTCATCCCATAACCACTCCTACAAGAGCGTGAGGTGTGCCCACACTAACCAGCTGCTGCTACGGGGAAACAGCCGTTAGTGTTGCATCCCCTGACGTGACATCTCAAAGAGAGCTAATGGGGAAGCAAGTTAGAAACTGGGAGAGGGCAGCTGACGTTTGCTTTTTGGAGTCTTCACTCTACTTTGTCCTTCCTACTGCTACCGAAGTCAAAAGTGAGAGTTCTCATCTGAGATCACGACTATCATACACGGTAAACCTGACTTTAAAAGGTCTGGGGGAAAAAAAAAATCTGTTTCAAGAACTTCTAAAACTAAGAATTATTTAAGGAATGTCACCAATCCTGAAAGACCAAATGGAAACTGCTCAGTTCCTCACTGTCCCCCAAAGTGGCTGCAGCTCTGGCCTAACAGGCCCCTGCCTCCACATGAGGGCCTTCTCAGGTCTGGAACACGTGGAAGAAACCAGATTCTCATCAGGGCTGATGCTGGCTCCACGGACTCTAGAATCTGACTCAGGGAACCGCACTAAACACATCCATCTGACTACTCTGAAACAGATACATGGCCTGTCATTAGCCACAGAAGCAAGGGTTTCCCAGGGGAGACTGGGAATAAAGAACCCAGCCAGCCAAGCCTCCAGGGTCCCTCCCATCTGGCAGAGACTCTTCCCTCTCCAGCAGGGTTATGAGCCCAAGCAGAGCACACAAAGCCCAGAGGAGGAGTCGATCCGTACCTAGCCTGTAGCTTCCGCACAGTCTCTTCATCTTGCCGGGCCTGTCTCTCATCCTCGAGAGCCTCCTGCAGCTTTAGGTACATGTCTTCCAGCTCCCGGACCCGCTGCAAATACTGCTCTAGTTCAGAGGATTTCTGGGCAACCTGTTCTTCCATCTGCTGCCTGATCTGAGGGTATAAAAGTCAAGTTTAATACAGGCTGACTTCACCCTCGGGAAAGTCTCTTGCTCCAACACCATCCTGAGCGGGGCCAAGGCCACAGCCACAGCCCTTCAGGGTGGGCAGGGCCCGTCCTTCACTCCTTGATGAAGGAGGAAGCAAGAGTACCACACCCATCCCTGCTCCTGCCCTGGTATATTTCTCATCCCTTTCACACTGCATTTCAAACTCAAGAAAAAAATACTTCCCTGTATAATTTCTCTTTAAATTCCTTTCTGTCTTAAAGCCACAACCTCTTTACCAACAGCATCCAAAAGGAATGAACCTTTTCCCACTCAGAACAGACAAAGGGTTAAAATAAGGGGGAAAGGAAAGATGGTCTCCGGCACTTACCTGGCTGCCCAGCACCCTCTACTTTCTCCCTCCCTAGGGCACCTTCAGACCTGGGGGACCCTCAAGCATCTAATTAGCATTTTTTTTAATTAATTAATTAATTTATTTATTTATTTATTTTTATCACAACCATAGTTAATTAGCATTTTAATACATTTATGGTTTCTCCATTCTGGATTAAAGAGCCTTGAATCTCTGCCTTAAAAGTTAAGACAAGGACATCATAAATGTAATATCAAACATATTAGCATGTCTCTGAAGTTTATATTTTCACTTGCATTAGCTTACTTCATCCTCATGAAGGGGTTATGAGAGATCATGTGATGTCCCCCTAATTTGAAGAAGAGAAACTAATGCTCATAAGCAAGAGCAGAGGACACGAACCCAGATCTGGCTGTGGTGCAGCAGCCCCTCAGATCTCGGGTGCCCTCCTTTCACAACACACACACATCCACCTCAAGTCTAAGCAACAGAAAGTTGCTGAAGGAAGTGTCACAGCACCTGTTAGCAGGCCCTGGGCCCAGCCCTCTCTCACACCCTGTAACCCGATGTGAGGAGACCTGTGTTCCAGTTAACCAGCTCACTGCCTGAAGCACCTGGACCATGGGGATGAGAACCCCTAAGATGAGTCAGAGCTGCCAAGAGTGACAGACCAGCATTCACATATTCTCATGACTGCAGAACCCCCACTCTTGCTCATTAGAGAGGGGAAATATCATGGAACCTGTGCTTACTTTTTCCATAGTTATTTATTTTCCAAGCCAAAACTCTGAAGGATGAAAGGGATGCTAGCAATAATTATACCAGGATGGCGGGGACTGTCCCAGGCAAACCAGGACGTGGAGTCCCCCTCCCCACAGCACTTATCATTTCATAAATTTCTATTGGAGGTCTTGAGAGCAAGGTTTACCTTTACATCCTTGGCATGATACCTGGCACACGGAGTGCGCTCAATAAACTGATGATAAGTTAATAACAAACACAAAGCCTCCCCAACAGCCAGCCCACCATGAGTCAGCAGCAGAGACAGCTGGCAAGATGATCTCACTCTAGCCTCCAAGGTCTTCATCCTCCACCAAGCCAGGCAGCTCCTGTCCCTCCACCCACACAGGTTGGCCTCTGTCCTTCTGCTGACCAGGACGGGACTGGGAGCGGGCTCTTCAAGTTAAAGCAGCCGCACCCCAGGGAGTGCGGTACTTACAAGCTTCTCCCGCTCTAGCTCCGTGCTGAACCTGGCCTGGAGCTCCACTTGAGTCTGAAGGCGCTTCTTTTCTTCTTCTGCTGCCCGAGATGCTGCTTCTTCCAGTTTCTACCCAAAAACCCATCCAGAGAAAAGCAGGGAACGTTACAGTCGAAGTGCATTTGGAGAGAAAGGGTCACATTTAAACATTATGGGGGAAGCCAGCCATTCTCAATGTTCAATAAAGACAGAATAAAACTTGTAGATCCACTGAATTCCATTCCAACAATTTTCCCAGTCAACATACAAAACAAATTGGATAAACGAATGACTCCTAGTAAGTTGTAACATTTCGCAAAGAAAATTTTAGTGTCGTCATTAAATTCACTTGCAAATGCATCTGTGAAGTTCAAATCTATTTCTTGAGCTCACTGCAGTTTTGTCATCTTAACATTGTTCCCTAAAACTTTGTTGTTGTTGTCATGTTAGTCGCTCAGTCATGTCTGACTCTTTGCGACCCCATGAACTGTAGGCTCCTCTGTTCATGGAATTCTCCAAGCAAGCATACTGGAGAGGGTAGACATTCCCTTCTCCAGGGAATCTGGAGGGGATCTCCAGGGGATCCATCAATCCAGGATGGAACCTGGGTCTCCTGCATTGCAGGCAGACTCTTTACTGCCTGAGTCACGGGGAAGCCCAACTTCCCAAAGGGTGGTTCTCTAGTGAAGCAAGGGAAAAACCGAAAGCAGTCATTTAAAGTCTCTGGGAATTATCCTAAGAGCATACAGCAAACAGAGAAAATTCATCCAAGAAAATCAACTAAATCTCAGCAAGAACTGTGAAAGTCTACGGCATTTGGACCATAGCACGGCCTCTTCTCCACCTACGCTTGTATTGGCAGTAGAAGGAGGCTCTACCCCATGGCCATGGAACCAAGAATGTGAGGCTCCCTCTCAGTTTCCAGTCTAAGGATAAGGTATCTCACAGGAGGATGCAGACAAAAAAAAAAGAAAGTCGTCTGCCATTCCAATAAACAAAGGATGTTGTCTGCTATCAAGCCATCACCCACTGTAGCCGTCCCAACAATGACCCATGAGGGTCATTCAGGGTGGAGAGAAACAGGACGCTGGCCCTAGAGAGTTAAAATGCATACCCACAAAATCATTTTACTGAGCTAAAATCTGTATCTTCCTATATACAGAAAAGCACTAAAATCATTAATTTGAAATATCTGTTTTTTTGTGATAGTGCAAGCACTAACTACACAGGTTTGTTTTGTTTTTTTTCAACAAAAACTCCTATAAATCCTGGCTCCCTGCTTATCTCTTTGAAACAGGTTCTCATAGCTGAGAAGCTCTCTCCCAGGCCAGAGTCCTCAGTAAAGGCACCAGATAAACGTAACTCTCAACATCTAGGTTGTGTGTTTTTTTCAGTCAACAAGATCAACAAACTAAATCACAGGCCAGCTAAGAAGTCTGATGGGAAACAGGGGAAGACAGCAAAGAGCCCCCACGTATTAGGAACAAGTTTCAAAGTCAGGCCTCAAAGATCAAATGTGGGCCAGAATTTAAATATCAGACTATGGGGCAAGTTGGGCCCCAGGGCATTGTTGAACAGAGAAACCTGTGAGTTGAACACCTGAGAACGTGACACCGACTGAGGCAGCCGACTTAACAGAGAGATCAGAGGTGGAGACGGAACCCTGCTGCCACACACAAAAATAATTTCAAAATGCATTGAAGACCTAAATGTGAGACCAGATACTATAAAACTCCTACAGGAAAACACAGGCAGAACGCTCTTTGACATAAATTACAGCAATATTTTTTTAATCTGTCTTCTAAAGGAAAAGAAATACAAGCAAAAAAAAAAAAGGGACCTAATTAAACTTTAAAGCTTACGCACAGCAAGGGAAACCATCAAGAAAATGAAAAGACAACCTACTGAATGGGCGAAAATATCTGCAAATAATATGACCAACAAGGGGACTCATATCCAACATATATAAACAGCTCATACAACTTAACATTAAAAAAAACCAAACAGGACTTCCCTGGTGGTCCAATGGTTAGGAATTCACCTGCCAATGCAGAGGACAAAGGTTCGATCCCTGGTACAGGAAGATCCCACATGCCGCAGGGCAATTAAGCCCATGTGTCAAAACCACTGAGCCCTTACTCCTAGAGCCCGTGTTCCGCAACAAGAGAGGCCACCACAATGAGAAGCCCATGCATCATAACTAGAGAAAAGCCCTTACACAGCAACAAAGACCCAGTGCAGCCAAAAATAATAAGTAAATAAATAAAAGATTTAGGGGGAAAAAAAAGCCAAACCCTGTACACTGTTGGTGGGAATGTAAATTGGTGCAGTCACTGTGGAAAACATCATGGAGCATTCTCAAAAAAACTAAAAACAAAACTACCACATGACCCAGCAATTCCACTCCTGGGTGACAAGGCAGGAGTTTCAAGACAAAAACACTAATTTGAAGATATATGCATCCCAATGTTCACAGCAGCATTATTTATTATTGTCAAGATATGGAAGCTATCTAAGTGTCTTATCAACAGATGAATGAATAAAGAAGATGCGGTGTTACAAATATACACGGGAATACTAGTAAGCCATAAAAAATAACAAAATCTTGCCATTTGCAGCAACATGTATGGACTTGGAGGGTGTTGTGCTAAGTGAAGTAAGTCAGACAGAAAAAAGACAAATACTGTATGATATCACTTATAGGTGGAATTGAAAACATACAACAAACTAGTGAATATAACAAAAAAGCAGCAGACTCACAGATATAGAGAACACACTAGTGGTTACCAGTGAAGAGAGAAGGGGAGGGGCTAGATACAGGTGGAAGGAGTGGGAGATACAAAATCCTGGGTATAAGATAGGCTCAAGGATGCATCAAACAATATGGGGAAGATAGCCAATATTTTGTAATAACTATAAATGGAGCATAACCTTTAAAAATTATTTTAAAAGAAAATAATACAAAAAAAAAAAAAGCTCCGTTGATACCTTGGTTACCCCAGAACACTGTACCCATACCCAAGGTTGTGCCTTGACAGAGGACAGTCAGTCAGAGGCTGCATATCATGAGGCAAATGGACTTCACTGAAATAGTCCAGCCAAGTCACTATGCAAATAAATGAGCAAACAACAAGTCCTTGGGATAAGGGCGGAAACTACATTGAGAGTTGCTTACAAATATCATCTAAAACATTTAGTTTTCAACAAAAAATTATGAGATATGTAAAGAAAGAGTGTGACTGATACACTGGAAAAAAGCAAGCAATAGCAACTACCTTTGAAGGAGCCCAGACTCTGGATTTAGCAAAGACTTCAAAGAAATTATTATATGTTCAAAGAACTAAGGAAACCTTGTTTAAGGAAATTATAGATGATATGATGATATCCCCTCAAACAGACAACATCAATAAAGAGACAGAAATTATAAAAAGAATCAAACGAAACTCTGCAGTTGAAAACTACAACAACTGAACTAAAAAATTCACTAGAGGGTCTCACCCATACAAGAAGAATCTATCAAAGATAGACTGATAGAAATTATCCAATCTGAAGAACAGAATAGAAAATAGCCTCAGAGAAATGTGAAACACCCATTAAATGTGCTAGTTAGCTAGTTAAGTCGCTCAGTCGTGTCCAACTCTTTGCGACCCCGTGGACTGTAGCCCACCAGCTTCCTCCGTCCATGGGATTCACCAGGCAAGAGTACTGGAGTGGGTTGCCATTTCCTTCTCCAGGGCATCTTCCCGACCCAGGAATCGAACCCAGGTCTCCTGCACTGCAGGCAGATGCTTTAACCTCTGAGCCACCAGGGAAGCCCAAGGAGGAAAGGGAAGTCGCTCAGTCGTGTCCGACTCTTCGCGACCCATGGGCTGCAGCCCTACCAGGCTCCTCCGTCCATGGGATTCTCCAGGCAAGAACACTGGAGGGGGCTGCCAACACCATTAAACACACCAACATTCACAAAATGGGAATATCCAAAGGAGAGGAAAAAAGAGAAAGGAGTAGGAAAATATTGGAAGAAATAATGACTGAAAACTTCTCCAATTTGATGGAAAACATTAATCCGCCCTTCCAAGAGAGTAAGATAAATACCGAGAGTTTAACACACACATCATATCGTGCACACATATGTATCATAGTAAAACTGTGGAAAGCCAAAGACAGAAAATACTGAAAGTGACAAGAGAAAAATGACTCATCTTACACAAGGAAACACAGAAACATGTGACTAGTTCTGACCAAAATACTGTAAATAAATAGAAGTGAAGTGTGGTATTTCTGGGCTGGAGGAGTTAACTGGCAAATTCTAGAACAGGTTTTTGTCTGACACAGTGAATAGCAGTATTTGACATGGTGGCTGTTCCATCTGCCTGTATGTCATAATTATATGTATATACACTCTGACCCAGCAATCCCACCTCTAAGAATTCATTCTACAGATATATTAGATATGTTTAAGTAAGTGTTAGTCACTCAGTCGTGTCTGACTCTTTGCAACCCCATGGACTATAGCTTGCCAGGCTCCTCTGTCCATGGGATTCTCCAGGCAATACTGGAGTGGGCAGCTAGTCCTTTCTCCAGATCTCTCTGACCCAAAGACTGAAGCCAGGTCTCCTGCATAGCAAGCAGGATTTTTACTATCTGGGCCACCAGGGAAGCCCTTTAGACATGTATGAACATTTATAAAATGACACAGACAAAATAATTCCCTGCAGCACTGCTTATTAAAACAGACTAAAACCACCCAAAAGTTCATCAATAGGAGGAACTGGTTAAATAAGTAATGATATGGTCATATAATAGAATATTTTAGAGCTATCAGAAAGAATGAGAAAGCTCTTTGACACAGAAAATATATATATATATATATATATAAACTAGATGCAGAATCCTAAGTATGTACTTTTTGTGTTTAAAAATGAATAAGAATGTATATTCATATTCTCTTGAATACACATTACATGAATCTAGAAAGATACATAAGAAATGAATGACAGTTGTCTTAGGCAAGGCATAGGAATCAAGCAGAGGGAAGAAAAGAGTAGGAGGAAATTTTTTCACTGAATCCCTTTTTATATTTTAAATTTTTGAACCATATGATTTTATTACTTATACAAATGATTATATTTTTTAAAAGAAACAAAAGTAGAAATAAAAATTATGTGCTGGGGTTGAGGGGGATAAGTAGGTGGAACACAAAAGGATTTTTAAGGCAATATACAGTGAAAAAATACTCTGAATGGTATTATAATGTAGATACATGTTGTTATACATTTGTCTGAACCCACAGAACATATACCACCAAGAGTGGACCCTAAGGTAAACTACGGACTTCAGGTGACTAGGAGTGTCAGTGTAGACTCATCAATTGAAATAAATGTACCACTCTGGTTGGGGATGTTGATTCTAGGGGAGGATATGCATATATTGACATTGGAGGTATGTACAAAATCTGTGCACCTTCCTCTTAGTTTTACTGTGAACCTAAAACATCTCTAAAAAAATTAAGTCTTTTAATAAAATTACTTGAGTAACACTTTAAAGAAATATATTAATTTATTTTAAAAAATACCAGGGAATTTCCTGGCAGTCCAGTGGTTAGGACCCCACACTCTCACTGCCAAGAGCCCAGGTTCAATCCTTGGTCGAGGAACTAAAATCCCACAAGCTGCACAGTGCAGCCAAAAAGAAAACACACAAAAAAACCAACCTACCACGATTTCTTATTCCTCCTTCTGAATTAAATGAAGCCTGTATCAAGTCTCACAAAATGAAATCTCATTCCAGGTGATTCAAATATTCATCTAAGTAATATTTTTCTAAAAATGCTTCAATGAAAAACTGGAGAATTTTCTTTTTTGACAAGAAAAGAAATTTAACAATTCTTAAAAGGATCCATAATAACTGCTTTCCAATATTTACCCATCAAACCTCAAATCAGTTGCTTTAATGATTCGGTAGAACTAGGATGTGGAAAGGTGGTTGAGGTCAGCTGAGGTCTGACCAAATCAGTACGCATTCATGTAGCACAGAACAGGGACCTACATGCTCCTGGAGGTTGAGTTAAAAGTCGACAAGTTTAAAAGGATCTCGGATGGATGGATCTCAAATGCATGATGCTAAATGAAAGAACCCACATACTGAAAACATATATACTCTATGATTCTGTTTATATCATAATTTGGAAAGACAAGAATATAGGAACAGAAAACAGATCAGTGGTTTCCAGGGGCCAGGGGTAAGGAGAGAGCCTGAATACAAGGGGCAGCATGAGGGAATTCTCTGGGACATTGGCATTGTTCTATATTCTGTCTGTGATGGTTTCAAGAATCTAGACACCTGTAAAAACCCATACACCTATACCATGATATTGCGATTTATAGTAAGAAATACATATATTTGGTCTTTGTCCCAGTTTCTGGCATAGATCTCCCCAAAGTCTTGGAATTTCCTAAGTGTTGAGAGTGATAATAAAGTGACTTTAAGAAAACACATATGGATAGGGGCTCGTTGCCAATGAAACCTACCATGTGGTGGGAACTTTCAGTCTGACCTCTGAGGAAGGGAGAAGGGCTGGGGGTTGAGTCAATCACCAATGTTCAATGATGTAATCAATCATGCCTGTGTAACGAACCTTCCATAACAACCCAAAAGCACAGGGTTCGAAGAGATTCCAAGTTAGTAAACATATGAAGATTTGGGGAGAGTGATACACCTAGAGAGAGCATAGAAGTTCCGTGCCATTTCCCCACATGCTGCGCTAGGCATCTGTCTATTCCTGAGTTACAGTCTTATAAGAAACCAGTGACTAGTATGGAAAACATTTCTCCGAGTTATGTTAAGCTGTTCTACCAAATTAATCAAACCTAAGTTGTAGTGGGGGGGCACTTCCCTGGTAGCTCAGCTGGTAAAGAATCCACCTGCAAAGCAGGAGACCTGGGTTCGATCCCTGGGTTGGGAAGATTCCCCTGGAAGCGGGCATGGAAACCCACTCCAGTATTCTTACCTGGAGAATCCCCATGGACAGTGGAGACTGGCAGGCTACAGAGAATGGGGTCACAAAGAGTAAGATGCGACTGAGTGACTCAGCACAGCACAGGAGAGGAGGCTTTGGGAACCTCTGACTTACAGCCAGCTGCTCAGAAGCACAGGTAACAACCTGGACTTGGGACTGGCATCTCAAGAGGGAGTTGGGGGCGGGGTGGTGGTGGTGGTGTCCAGACTGTATATTTGACTCCAAACAAAAAGTAAAACTCACAATTCTAACACTAAGCATCTTCCAAGATACTCATGAGTGAAGATGGGAGCTAAGGGGGGAAACCTAGAAAAGCAACGGATCCTATCCAGTTCAACAAAAGTGACCCTGACATCCTCAGGAGAAACTTCTCATCTTTCTGTGAACGAATTCAACTGTGTTCACTGTTCTTACAATTGCTCTTTTCTGGTCAATGAAATATCCCTGTTGTCTTGAGACCCTCATACTCTCAAGGGCTGGGAAAACAGTGTCTCTCTCTCAGCAGTCTAGAGACACTTCCTGGAAGCACAGTTCTCCAAACAATCTCCCTACAGTCATGTTAGCCTAGTCCTGGCAGAACTGAAGCTCATAAGTAAGGTCACAGAGGCTCCTACAGAGAAAGAGAAGACTGCCCCCCGCCCAGCGTCCACTCTCACCTTCCTCACGGCCTCCAGCTCCTGCTGTTTGTTTTCGTTCGCCACCTGGAGCTCCTTCATCTGTCGCTCCAGCTCCTCCTGCTCTGCCAGCAGCTTCTTCCGCAGTTCTTTCCGACGCTGGCGGGCTTCTTTGTGTGGTGGGGGGCTGCCCAGCTTCAGGAGATGGATGGTAGAATGGATGGCTGTGAAAGGCATGAGAGGAAAGATGGGAAATACCCTTTATTCTCTGTGAGCCTAACCTAAATGGCATAGTGGGAAGAAAATCAGAAACCCAGGGTAATTCTGATCCTGCCACTGAGCAGTGGTGTGACCGTGAGCCAGTCACAGAACCACTTACACATGAGTTTCTCATCTCTAACCAGAGAGAGATGATCTCTTGAGTCCCTTCCAGCTCCAAAGTCCCATAACTGCCTATCTGTGCTTAAATAGACTTATCTGGGAACATAACATGCATTTGAGGAACTCCCAACACTTGCAACTCCCTTCCTTAACTTCCCAAAAGGCCAAATAAGAATAAGACATCACAAGGGCTGAGATTCAAAATTCCTGGTATTTGATTTGCTACCTCCTGTAGGTAGTCATTCTAATGGAAATCAGTCCTGAATATTCATTGGAGAGACTGACGCTGAAGCAGAAGCTCCAATACACTTTGGCCACCTGATGCGAAAAACTGACTCATTGGAAAAGACCCTGATGCTGGGAAAGATTGAAGGTGGGAGGAGAAGGGGACAACAGAAGATGAGATGGTTGGATGGCATCACCAACTCAATGGATATGAGTTTGAGCAAGCTCTGGGAGTTTGTGATGGACAGGGAGGCCTGGCATGCTACAGTCCATGGAGTCACAAAGAGTCAGACACGACTGAGCGACTGAACTGTAGGTAGTCTGCCCCTCATCTATGCCTTATGAAACCATCTCCCTATATACTTCCTTTCCGAGGTGATAACAGCCAACCATGTATTGAATATTTGCTATATATAAATATGTGTGTATATATATACACACACACATACACTCTTTACACACATTATCTAATTTTTGTATGAAATCTGATTTCTTTCCTCATTGTTTCCATTATCTAAATAGCTAGTATGGGGGTGGGGTGGGAGGGAGGCTCAAGAAGAAGGGGATGAATGTGTACTTACAGCTGATTCACACTGTTGAACAGAAGAAACCAACGCAACATTGTAAAGCAATGTTATCCTCCAATTAAAAATAAAATAAAAAATTAAATAAATAGCCAGTACTTTCACACTGTTCAAATTCAAAAGCCTGAAAGGACATAGATGAAATCTCCTCCTACTCCTATTCCCAAGCACTGAGCTCTTCACTCCACTACCAACTAACACCAACTGTTTCTGTGCATCTTTCCTGAGATACTTTAAAAGCATATACAAATAAACATATATATACATTTTCCACCTTCCACTGACACCGTGGTGGCGTAACACTCTCGTGAGAGCCTGAGTCTGTCCTCTTACTTCACCCTGGAGAGCTTTTCATATCAGTATACACTGCGCGTAGTAGTGATCAGTCCTCCAGTGTGCAGCTGTGCCATCATCTATTCAACCACGCCCCGATTAATGGACATTTGTTTATAAATCTGTCACAAACACTTCTGCAACAATGTGTCATTTTTAAAACCTGCAACTATATCTTCACTATCTCATTATTAACCCTCACAACAACTCTGAGAGATAGGTACTATCATTAGCCCCATTCCAGAGAAGGAAGCTGCTCCAGAATTCCTAGTGACCCAGGAGAGAGGATCCAGACCCAGGTACACTTGCCTCAAGCTCTGAAGCTACATCAAAATGTCCACAGTTCTCAATAAACAATTTTACCTATATGGAAGAATATAACATTCAGAATCCCCTTTCATGATTAAAGAGAAAAATTTCACTTTAATCTTTACTAATGCTGGAGTGATATTTTAGTTTAAAAGTTATTAAGTCAAAAGTTTTCATTCTCGAGATATCTGAAACTAGTGATTTCCTGTGAAAGTAACAAATCCTGAAAATTACTTGAAGTATTCAAAACCTGTTGCACAATTCCTCTTTTGTTTTACATATTTCTAAATACTCAAAATGGCCACTTTAAAATTCTTCATGGTCCTTAATGGGGGAAATTCCATATTCTTGAAATAGTAAGAGTAAATAAATAAAATCAAAAAGGTTCAGTTTGTACTTTTCCCACAAGTTCATCAGGCAAATGAAACTGATGAAAATTCTGGGAACTCCTCTCAGCATGTTTTTCTTTTAGCTACTGTGCTTCACATAGAAATAACTATAGGCAATGAGGAACAATGCCGAGTATCTCTTGTTCAGTCGCTCAGTCGTGTCCAACTCTGAGATCCCATTGACTGCAATATGCCAGGTATCCCTGTCCTTCACTATCTCCAAGGGTTTGCTCATGTCCATTGAGTCAGTGATGCTAACCAACCATCTCATCCTGTTGCCCCCTTCTCCTCCTGCCTCAATCTCTCCCAGCATCAAGGTCTTTTCCAATGAGTTGGCTCTTTGCATCAGTCACCAAAGTACTGGAGCTTCAGCTTCAGCACCAGTCCTTCCAATGAATATTCAGGGTTGATTTCCTTTAGGATTGACTGGTTTGATCTCCTTGCTGTCTAAGGGACTCTCAATGAAAAACAGAAAGTGCTCTCAAGTTATATCATGACAAGTAATAAAAAGTACCTTACCCTGAATCCACTCTTGTTTCTTCTTCTTATCTGAAGCACTGATTTCAAAGGTCTTATCGAAACATTTTATGAGAAAAAGGCATTTCTTTCCATCTTTATCAGGCAAGGACTAAGACAGAAAGCAAAATTAGTCTTTCAAATTTTACTTTCAAGTATTTAAATTCAAACTTAATTACTTATACAAGTACCTATAAATGAATGTTACTGATTTATTTATGCTGCCCTCTAGGCAACAATACTTGCAGTAAAAATCACCCCAGATGAGTGTACAACATCTAGACTGGGAGAACCAACACCACTTGATGGGCTATGCTACGGCCTTTCCTGAGCACAGCAACCCTTGTACATTGCACCTTATGCCTGAACACGTCTCTCACAGGAATCCTGGAAAATATGCCCATGGAACTAACTGTTCCAATAGGTATAGACACCCAGGGTGATTCTCACACCCTGCAGATGTGTTTCTCCCTTCCTTGCACCAGGGGTGTTGCTGCTAGCAAGCTGTGGTTCTTGTCTTATACCCTTATAAGTAGACTGGCACGATCTATCATAATCCTGTGAGTCTCCATGTTTAGCTGAATCTAAGAAGACCCCTTACTGGGCACTGCACACCCTTAATATTAATACATACCACTTCATCCATCAAGACACATTATCATTTATGAATGAGATCTTAGGTATTTTAAATGTTCTTCAATAAATAAAGATGTGGTAATAATTCAGGTATAAATAAAAAATTCAAAACATTATGTTCTTGAGGACTTCACCTATTTACAGAATTAGCAGTGATAAAGTGTTCTGAAAGTCATACTAGTTATTCAAAGACATGTTCTTTGGGTTTATTTATTACACTCAAAAATGGCCCATGTTCTCAGATATACTCATGATTTCAAACACTGTCTTACTATTTTTTTTTGGCTTTGTTTTCTTATTTATGACTCCAATTTACTCAGGAAATGATTCCTTAAATACACAAATACATGAGATTTAATCCCTATACTTTATTCTCAAATACAAGACAGAAAATAAATTCACATTAGAAAAAAATTTTGTTAGGTATCTATAATTCTTTGGTTCAGAAACTATGGTTACTGTATGCCTGTATTATTTTAGAAATGTGACTTTTAAGATTATTTTAAGGCCCCAGTCTAGAAGAAGGAAGATAAACTACTTGGACAGCAGGCGGCAGCACTGGAAAGAGGTAACCATTGACTCTTACCTCCACACAGCAGTTCTCATCCAAGAGAATGTCTCCTTTCTTATCTTTCAGATCCTCACTCACATAATAAGAAATTATGTTGGGTTTTAATACAAACCAGCGTTCAGTCCAGTTTTTCCGTCTATGGCCTTTTTTAATCATGTAACCCTAGGTAAGATTAAATCTGATATAAATGCTGGTGCTTTTCCTTATAAGAGCTGGTATCTCCTCCTTTTAACACACACACACATCTCTTCCCCCCCCACACACACACCTCTTCCTTTTAACACACACACCCTAACTGTGATTCTCAGTAAATCTAGACCTCCATTATTAAAAATGCTAAAAGGTGTCAGTAAACCTGGCCAAGCACGCCTTCTCAGACAGTCACCCTCTGGCACCGGTGTACCTCTCTACCTGACCTCTCAGGATTCTGGAGCATGAAATCTGCTCCAAAGGAGCAGAACATGAACTGGACCAGTAGTTAGGATCCTGGCTTCTAAGTATAGCTTTTAGGCTCACACTTACTAGGCTTGTATTTTCTTCCCATATGTCAGCCTCAAAGATGTGTGATCCAAAATTTTATTTCAGCAAGACTACACATTACTACAGACCAAAACACTTCAGGATTGTTCAAGAATAGCTAACATTTTACATAGTAAATCTATAGGTGCTAATAGCCTGTGGCAGACTATACACATCATCAAATACATAATAATATTTTGGCTGCATCATGTGATCATTATACTAAGTTCTAATCACATCACTTGTTCGGTTTGCTAGCTCTTGACATTTAAACCAAAACTATCTCATACTGCAGTTCATCTGCAGTTCTATATTCTGCCATCCTAATGGGCCTGGAAATCCTCTTCAGAGACCATGTTTCTTACCCTCTTATAGCACCAAAAACCTACACAAATTAAGCCCCAATTAAAGTTTATTAATAGGCTACATCTGAAGAAAAGAGGAAAAACAACATCATTACCTAAGAGAGCAAAACAAGGACCAACCAGTAAGAGTTATTATTCAATATAATAATGTAAGACGTCTGAAAGATCCACTCAAAATATATAAATTCTATTTACTAAGCATTACGTTTATTAAACAGACTATGTATATCAGCATATGTATACCATAAATATTATCAGATGCTAGGCAGGTACTGAGAATACAAACTTTATAACCTAGTATGATAAACACAACTTTATTACAAAAAGGCACTCTTCTCCAAAAGTAAGGGTACTTTTCTGATTTCATAAAAATTATAAATATCATATAGAGAGGTTAACATATATAAACATTATAGTAGTAAGTCCAATAACAAGAAAAAGAATAAAATAAAATTCAGAAATCCCACAACCCAGCAGTGATCACTTCTAACATTCTGGCCCCCATCCCTCCAGGCAGCTCTTACACACACATATCACATTGCATGCAAGGGATTACAAGACACCTGCTGTCCTACAACCTGTTTTCTTCACTGAACAGTATGCCATGGGATCTTTCAGATGAATGAGTATAGACGTACACAAGACACGAAAGTATCATGTTCAGAAATGTGATCATGTAAACAGTTCTTTCAAAATAGCAACTTCCCAGTGTTTAACTGTAATTATTTACAATGTAAGCCTAACACAAGACTGGGAAAATAAGAAATTTTATTCCTGTTCTAAATTAGTGTAAAAATATAAGTGACTTAGGCTCATCTTTGTGATAAAAATGTTTTATTTCAAACATGTCAAATTCTAAAGGTGAGGAGAAACAGTGTCACAGGATGCTTACCTGTTTCAGCACATCTAATATGAGCTCATTGAAGACCTCGTTAATTGCCATGGACACAGTCTGTCGATCCATGCCTTTGCTGAACTGTCCGTTTCCAACAAGCTCAATCAGTTCCCACACAGAAAGGCCATCTTTACTGTCATCAAAGTTGATTTTATAATTTTCAAATTGTTCTTGTTGCCAACTTACTCCCATAGCTTCTGTAAGTTTCTTAAGCAGGTATTCAATCTATAAAAAGGATTTTAAAAGTATTACTGCATAGCAAAAAAAAAAAACCTTTTAAACCTAGGTATGTATCTATGTTATTTACACTAAATAACTAAATTAAAAGGTCAATTTAGGAAATATTCTTTTATAGTTCCAATCTTGAACCATCAAGGAGAAGGGTATGGATAAAATGCCACTGATTCTATGCTAACTTAGAATAAAGTAATCAAAAACTGGAACCCTTAACAGCCTATTTGTATAAAGAACAAAAGCAAACTGCACACAGACACTATCATACACAAACTAACTGATGTGATCTGTTTACTCTGTTGGATTTTGATATATAAGAATACTAATTTTGCTGAACCAATATGCAAGCACTAAATAATCATCTCAAAGTATGTACAAGTTAGTCACCAATTTATAAATTTTCCACATAAGCCAATTATTTTAAATTAATGCTGCCACTTCTCATTAGAATTCTGACAGTGTTGTAAACAATGGTGAACTCCTAGACTGGGCCAGAAAAGTTTATTAAATTCTGAAACACATAGCTTTGTATACAAAATATAATAGAAAATACTGCGCTCATCCCTCAAAAAAGCTCTACGCACACACAACACTGGCATGAAAGGGATCACAAGACACCTGCTGTCCAATAACCTTTTCTTTTTCTGATGAATGAGTGCACAATGAATGGATGTGCACATGATATGAAAGTACTTTTAAAATGTAAATGAAATAGTAACAGTTTTAAAAACAAACTGTGAGGCAGTAATACTGAATTAGAATTGATGTCTCTTATCTTCTGGAAAGCCTGGGTATCCTACAGTACTCTCTCAAACTCAACATATCCAAATATGAATGAATCATCTCTACCTTTCAAATGGCTTCTCCTCCAATATGGATGTCAGTTGTGAACAACACCATTCACCCATGCCAGGATGACAAACCATGCCCCACTCCTTTACATCAAGATCAGTGACAAAATCCTACTGTTTTCACTTCCCCTCTTTAAACTCTGCCTGGCTCCCTATCACCTCAAAGATAAAGGCAAGCTCCTCTGTGTCTCCCTGTGGTCACTCACCCGGTGTGTACCATCTCTAACATTTTCTCCGCCATGCCTCACTGCAGATTTTACACCCCACCAACACCACCATCAACACTGATCCCACACAAGCTCTATAAAGAGCTAGCTAGTTAATATTTAAGACTTTATACATCTCTGCTATATGTTTTTCTTTGTTTTGGGTTTTCCTTTTTAACAACTCTTTAAAAATGTAAAAACTATCTTAGGACATGGGCTATATAAAAACAGGCTGTGAACTGAATTCAGCCAGTAAGCTGTAGTCAGCCAACACATGCAATAGATTATAAGTAGTTTACCCATTTAACACACTTTTTTATGCTTCTGTGCCTTGCCCCATGCTGTCCTGTTGAGATTACCTCTCCCCATTTCTCTACTCAGTCATATCCCACCAAAGACCCGCAAATCAGGATCTGCGTTTTAACAAGAACGCCAGGTACTTCCCTATGCACATTAAAGTCTGAGAAGCACTGCTCTGGTAAAAGTGCTCTGACCCAGGTCAGGTGTTCCTCTTCTGAACTCGGCATACTGTACAGAAAGTATCTCTATATTCAAATGCTGCCCCTTGCTGATTTTTTGAACTCATTATAGGAGGGACAATGTCCAACTCATCTTTGAATCTCCAGAACTCAGCATCATACACAGATGTAGTAGAGCTCAGTTAATGAAATGGAAATAAACCAAGCTAAACCTCAATTTTCTCATCAAAGAAATGGGTATACAGCAATCCCACTTCTGGGCATACACACCGAGGAAACCAGATCTGAAAGAGACACGTGTACCCCAATGTTCATCGCAGCACTGTTTATAATAGCCAGGACATGGAAGCAACCTAGATGCCCATCAGCAGACGAATGGATGAGGAAGCTGTGGTACATATACACCATGGAATATTACTCAGCCATTAAAAAGAATTCATTTGAATCAGTTCTAATGAGATGGATGAAACTGGAGCCCATTATACAGAGCGAAGTAAGCCAGAAAGATAAAGACCATTACAGTATACTAACACATATATATGGAATTTAGAAAGATGGTAACGATAACCCTATGTGCAAAACAGAAAAAGAGACTCCTATGTATAGAACAGACTTGTGGACTCTGGGAGAAGGCGAGGGTGGGATGTTTCAAGAGAACAGCATTGAAACACGTATATTATCTAGGGTGAAACAGTTCACCAGCCCAGGTTGGGTGCATGAGACAAGTGCTCGGGCCTGGTGCACTGGGAAGACCCAGAGGGATTGGGTGGAGAGGGAGGTGGGAGGGGGGACCGGGATGGGGAATACATGTAAAAAAAAAAAAAAAAAAGATACACTATGGTTGTGATAAAAAATAAATAAATTAATTAATTAAAAAAAAAAAAGAAATGGGTATAATAAAACTCATCATGCAGAACTCCTATGAGGATAAAATGGGACAAAAATAGAACACTGTGCACAATGTCTGGTATAACAGGCACTCAATCAATTCTACTTCCTTCTGCACTGCACCATTTCAAATTACATTTAAGAAAGCATTCATGAAATAACACAGAATGAGGAAGAATGCAAAATTAAATTTACCTATGATTTCCAATGCATAAAGATTATGTAAATATTCTGACAAATACTAGAGGAAATATTACAGTCAATTTTGTTATAGATAGGATTATGAATTAATTTCTTTCTCTTCTTTGTAACTCCAAGTTGGTTATAATGTTGTTTGTGAAATAAGATACTTTAACAGGAAAAGAATGTGAACAATAGGAAAAACATGTTTGCAAAGAAATAACACACTCACAAAACATCCCAAGGTCAAAAAATACCAAGAGATCTATTGATGTAATTTGATGAGATATTATAAGCTCCTCCAGTATGCAGATTATCTACTACCTTAAATCTAGCATACAGTGGGGTGTTCAACAAATGTTTATTCACTGGAGAAAAACACACTCAGGTCTTCCCTTTCTCTTGTTGGAGATGTACCTGTTAAGCTTGTGCATCTGCTGTTAGGTTTAACAGATATTATTTTCTTGGTTTTTTAAAAAAATTATTTTTGCCTCTGCCGAGTCTTTGTTGCCGCACATGGGCTTTCTCTACTTGCAGCAAGCAGGAGCTGCTCTCCAGTTGCAGTGAGGGCTTCTCACTGTGGGGGCTTCTCATGCTACAGAGCACAGGCTCTAGGGCACGTGGCCTTCAGTAGCTGTGCCATGCAGGTTGTGACACATGGGCTTAGCTCCCCTCAGCCTGTGGGATCTGCCCAGACTAGGGATCGAACCCATGTCCCCTGCACTGGCAGGAGAATTCTTAACCACCTGACCACCAGGTAAGTTCTTGGCTTTTAAAAAGAAATAACAGGGACAGGAAGTGGAAAAAGAGAAAAAAGGAAATCAAGAAGAAAAAAGGGAAGAGGGACAGAGAGACCAGGACAGAAAAGAAGACGGGAAAAAAAAAAAAAGATTAAAGCAATAAGGCACAAGAAAGAAAAACTTAATTATATAAACAACTGACCAAAGTAAATTAACTTAGAGGCCTTCTCAAGCACAGAAATTCAATCTCCCTAAGGCAGCAGAAAGAGGGCCCATGCTGCCTGATCACAACTTGGCATAAAAGCTTATACAGGCACTACTAGAAGTTTTGGTAGTGAGGCTATCGGTGTCGCCACATGTATGGACAGGATGACAAAAAGTGGGTGTGACAAGACAGTGCATCTGACTGACCATTTGTACAAGTCAGGAAACAGCGGGAATGACCCTGTGCCCCTCAGTTCCTCTTGTATATTGGAGCTTCAATTCCTCTCCTGTATTGGAATGTCTTTTACGTTTCCTGTCTGCAGCAAGCGGAGCTCTTCTAGGGGCAACTCTCCAGGTTCCTCCTGAACCTTTGCGCACACGCCCTCCCCAGCCCTTCAGAGTTTGTCATCGGGGCCCAGTTTCTGCTCTGCATTCCCAGTGACTGCCAGGTAACTGATCTAGACTCACTTCCTGCTGACTTTGAACACAGTCACATACTTATCACAACCAAATAACTTAAGAACCTCTTCGTTCATTATATTGCGCCAAGGAGAGACAAACATTCCCATTCTCAACTATTTGATCATACTAAATAATCACGTGTTGCTGTGTTAGTCTGAGTGGCCTGCACCAATTCTAAGAGCTCATTCAGTTTCAGGAAGCAGCTTACTTCCTCCTTCCAAGGCAAGTTGCACCAAAAATAACAAAGAATAAACTTTCAAGCTGCATGTGATTTTTGAGGCCTCTGGCTCTGAAATTTCTTTGTTAAAAGTTTTTTCCCTGTAATCATTAAAGAGGGCCTTTATTGACTTAATTCAGATTTTATTTCACTGGGGATCTCTTAAAACTCTTTCAGGTTTGAGATTTAACTGCATGAAGGCAATTCTTCCAAATAAGCAACAGACACATCCTGTTTTGTTCTTGGCTCAGTGGGAAATGAATACTCATACAAAAACTATACTTCACACACACACATTTCCAGGAAAACCATTAGACAAAAATTTAGGAACCACCTCAAATGGGGACACGCTAGTTCTGGACTTTCGTGAAGTAAGTCCCTTATTTATTCAATGTTCTTGATACTACTTTCTCGGTGATAAGAAATTGAATCAAAAGCAAATTTTTCTATACCACTTATGTTATTCATATAACTACCACTGTTACTTATGTCTAATATAGTATTAATCAAAGGTGGAGAAAAAAATCTTACTTAAAAACATTTTGGACTTAAAATGCAAATGATCATTATGATAAATGACTTATTGGAAACATAAAGATTACTTTAAATTTATAAAGCCTAAAATCAACTGGTAATATTACAAATCAAACTCATACATGACAAATTGACATTATACTTCAATTTTATTTTAAATGTGTATGTTTTCATACTTAATTTTATAAAAATCTGTAAGCCTAAAACTAGTTCCAAATACAGTTCTTTTT